CTCTCTCTCTCTCTCTCTCTCTCTCTCTCTCTCTCTCTCTCTCTGTCGAAAGATGAATTGGCATATTGTACGACTAGTTCTCTCATACTCGAGTCTTAACTCCCACTCGATGCTGTGAAATACCCGCTGCAAATACAACGATATTTTATCCCTCTATATCATCGAATATTTCGGGCTTGTCTGTGATCGAGGTCGAGTGCTCTTTCCTTCGAGTGTTCCGCTCTTGAAGATACGTTTATTCGATACCAGTTCCGAGAAATTTCAGGAAAATGCCGATGTTTAAGCGCAAATCAATGAGCACTGGCAGAGAGGAGGTATCGAAAAAAAGAAACCGGAGATTATCGCAATGCATGATACCTGTCCAATATGAGATTCTTCGAATAAATGTCGGCTTTTTCTGCGAATTTCAATCCGAACAAATTCTGCTTCTTAAATTCGCCAAGATGCAAGACGTTTGTTAGATATACTAACAAACTCGATTGTCATGTGGCATATCTATTGTCATATGAATTGTCTGTTTCATAGAAACAGATCGATCATTATAAGTACGATAAGTGAGTCGATTCCGTGTGCAAATTTTTTTAAGTTTTTTTTTTTTAATAACACATTTTATACATGGAAAAAACGGGATATAATTTGCTCAAATATGATTGCCATAACAAAGTATTAATGTTATTTTTCGTCGATGCATACAAAATGGTTGTAATAACCATAATACTCTGGAAATGGTACATTGGTCTTCTTTGTTGCCTACCCATACCTGTTTGAGCGGTACTCTTAAGGAGAATTCACACCTTGACAGGAAAGCATAAAACAGAAAAGCAAGTCAAAACTCGCGCTAGCAGAAAAACAGGAACTGCCAACTACCACTTGACCATCAGCGTGAGTTCTGATTTCTGCTTGTTTGTTTTCTGTTTTTCTACCAAAGTGTGAACCCTATAGATCTCTCAACTATAGCATTTGTTCTGCAGACTACAACAGAGAGACAGTAATATCTCTTATGAGGATAAACTAACTGAATATTACATACATTAAAACTATGAGAACTATATAACAATGGGCACACAACAGCAACTTGTAGGACCGATTTTTTCAACTTCTTGATAAGTTAACATTTAAATCACATGTCTATTTTTGTTTGTCCCTCAATTAGACAAAAACAAACATATGATTTAACTATTAGTTAGCTTACCAAAAGATTGGAAAATTCGGGCCTTAATGCAATATCCATTTAATTTGAAATAATTATTGAATTGTATATATTTTCTCTCTAACTGTACAGAATACGGATGTAGCAATCATAGCAGCGTTCTTCGTGCAGATGCGAATATTTGTATGTGTATCCGTGCATACACACATGGCTACAATATAGAACGAAATAGAATGAAATTTTGGAAATAATTCTCTGAATTCAGAATAGAAACTGATATGAGTTATACGATATGCAGTGGTGTGCTGAAGAGATCGGATGTATCTATTTCGATTAAAACAAAATATACCTTCAAAATATACCGTTTGTATTTGACAGTAATTGCTGTCGATATACTCGTATACGTGCACCGTACACGGAAAAAAAAGTTTAGTTGAATTAACCAAATATCTGGACGAATATGAACGATCCAGAAATTTTGATTAAAGTAACCCGAATTCTGTTTAAGTCAAGCAAAAATTTTATTAACTTAAACAGAATTCGGTTTACTTTAATCAAAATTTCTGGATCGTTCATATTCGACCAGATACTTGGTTAATTCAACCAAACTTTTTTTTCCGTGTACATATACATGCGTGTGTTTTTTCCTTTCTGTTACTTTCAAGATATTACGCATATGCTGCGTATCATATTCGATGGAACAGCACAAATTACCGAGGCAACATATGCGTAAGTTATATATTTTGAATATATCCACGGATATTCATATTATAATACACGCGAAATTTCGTTGTAAACAACGTTTACAATACACGTTTCAATACACCTCGTCATTCCACGTGATCCTAATTTAGACATTAACTCGACGAAGTAAATTCCAGGCATATCCACGCACGCACAACGTTATCGCCGAGGGAAAAATTCAAATGACCACCCTGATGATATTTTATTTTCGCAATGCACGCGCGCGGGCGCACAATACGATTAACGCGCGCGCGATACGATTTCAATAACAGAAAATTTCGCCCAGCGAAGCGCCGCTCTAATCTGCGACGATTATTTATTCCCCCTTCGCCGACTTTGATACGTGTGCGGAATAAACGTGAATATTTGAAGAGGATGTATGCCAAATCATTTCAAATGCGATTAATTAAAGCCGCTTGATACCTCTACGTGCCTAGCACATATTATATTTCATTATTCCGACGTTGATAATTATACTTCGAATTCTCTAGCGATATATGGCAGGATTAATTGCAAACGACGTTACGCTGGTCACGTCGCAGATAACACGTTTGATCTCGTTTGAGCCGAAAGTATTCTCTACGCCGGCCTAACGGGTGATTTGTGTCGTCTCCACTCGTTCATGCTAATAGGACGCATTTTTTTTTCTTATAGTTTGCAGTGGACGAAGAGCTCGGCTCTGGTGATTACGATCTCAACTTGCTCGACGGTTCCGGCGACGCTGATTTGAAGAAGGTAGATGCGAGCCCGTCCGCAAATTGCGCTCTGGCTTCGCTATATTGACAATATATGCGCTAACTAACTATTGGTTGTATCACTACTGGTCTACTAACTCATAAATGTTGATATCGAGTTTGAGTGATTCACTAACGGGATTTCAAGTTCGCGTGCATGATACACCGCGGTAAAAATAATCGTTTAATCAGGAACTGGCGTTTAATTTGCGAACATGCCTTGGTCGAGTATATTCTACGCGGAGATTAGAACGAACACGAAGTGCATTTCACCATCTCGTCTGGCTTATCTAACACCTTGCAGAAACTTATCGAAATTGCTTCAATTGTTTTGTATAATGTGTGCCTATTCTAAATTTCAAATCGTATATCTCTTACATATGGGTGGAAAGTAATCTATGTCTTATATGGAAAACTATATTAAGTAATAACTTGATTTAACACACATCTTTAACATGATATTGACGACGTATCTATTAAAAAATCTAATTATTGGATAATCAGCAAAGTAATTATCTCTAATTACGCTCAAAGTGTGTATAATAATAGTTTATAATAGCCAATCCAACTTATAGATTATCGATTTCTCGAGAGTAAGCCGGTGACGTTATGATTTATGTCCCTAAAATTGACTAATCCTTATAATGGACCGAAGTTTTAATGAGAATTTTCTTAAAAGCTGTCGACCATTAGGAGAAAGCCGGGCGAGAAAGAGGAACGAGAAATTAGGTTACGCGGATAATCTCGTAAATACCGGGAGGATAATCGCTAAAATTCTCCTAGGATTTCACATTGGCAACTTCGCCCACCCGAAATATCGCCGCTCCATCTTTGCCATCCATCCGCAGTCATTAAGAAGTTGAATATAATCCCAATGAAATTTGGAAGCGCACTTCGATACAGCGCGCATATAACTTATGCAAGATCGCTCGGAATTTACCTTCAAAAGAAGAAACACGCGAATTCAACGGATCAAAGTGACACCAAGAAAGTTACTCTCTAAAGTGCAATCAGTATATCCTTAATTGTATGAATAACTAATGTCTCAATTATAAGTACAGCATTGCTCGATAAAATCTCGAAAATATCATCTAATTGTATATTGACTGTTTCCATTACTAATATAATTTACAAATAATAGGAAAAAGGGCTAATTCAAGTTCAAGCACAGGATTAATAGTGCTATGTACCATAATGTTTTACAAATGTTTTACCATGGGTAAAACCTTCCTTATGTTAGGAAATAGAACAATATTTATTGAACATGAATACTCAATATAAATAATCAAACGTTTCGGCTCAATCATGAACTCTCTTCAGTGATATAAAAAAAACTCAAGGTTTACAAAACGAACGCATTACAAGTAAAAGAATTAATTAAAGACCTTAATAAAATGACATGAATGTTATTCGCAGTATTATAGCTGACAAGACCGTTACCCGACTAATGTTAAGAAGTTCAAATTAATACTAGGAAGTAGCCGTCATAACTATAAAAAAACCATAAAATAAAATAAAAATAGGTAAGATTAAAATATAATAAATAATTAAAACGGTCAATATAAATTACCTTTGTTGAGCTCGGCTAAAAGTGAAACGATTCTGTCAATGATAACATCGCCACGTCTAAGTAAAAGAGATAATAACAGACTTATATACACGAGCATTAACATTGCGGCGACGACTCTTGGAAGAAAAGGATACAAACAAAGTTTTATTTTTATAATAAGCCGCAGTAGCTGTTGCCCAAATATTCTGTGTCCTTTTGAGAGTTAAGTCCATGTTTTTGAAATTCAATGTAAATCATTTCTGATATCAGGCGTTTCAAGTAATAACGTTCCTTATGCAAAACTTTGGCTTGATCCCAATTGAAATCATGGTTTTTTCTCAAACGGTGTTCTTGTATGACCGTTAACTCAACTGTAGAACTCCTTGGTATTCTCCTATGCTCAGCAATAAGCGTAGAGAATCTTCTACTAGTTTGACCAACATACGACGCCTCACAACTTCTGCATTGCAATTTATACACAACGTTATTATGGAAACCAGGAGGCAACCTGTCTTTATACACACGAATCATTCCTGATAATTTATTATTGCAAGAATAAGCAATATTTGTCAAATTATTTTTAAAAAATAATTTTGACGTTGACAGGATCGTTTCAATTTTAGATGAGCTCAACAAAGGTAATTTATATTGACCGTTTTAATTATTTATTATATTTTAATCTTACCTATTTTTATTTTATTTTATGGTTTTTTTTAAGTTATGACGGCTACTTCCTAGTATTAATTTGAACTTCTTAACATTAGTCGGGTAACGGTCTTGTCAGCTATAATACTGCGAATAACATTCATGTCATTTTATTAAGGTCTTTAATTAATTCTTTTAGTTGTAATGCGTTCGTTTTGTAAATCTTGAGTTTTTTTATATCACTGAAGAGGGTTCATGATTGAGCCGAAACGTTTGATTATTTATATTGAGTATTCATGTTCAATAAATATTGCTCTATTTCCTAACACAAGGAAGGTTTTACCCATATGGTACATAGCACTATTAATCCTGTGCTTGAACTCTAATTAGCCCTTTATCTTATTATTTAACTGATATCATTGTTATTGAGTTCTTATTTTCTTTCTCTTAATAATTTACAAACATAGACAGCTCGCAAATCACATGAAGACCGTTATTTCCGTCGCCACAAACGCGGAAAGTGTTTTGGATTTGGCACAATATATTACAAATTTGCGTACTATAGACTTTGTAGTGAGATCTTATTCCTACTAGTCGAAATCAACGAGATATAAAATAGAGCAGTAAAATGGAAATATTTCCACTAAAAATCAGCGAATATTCACTGATTATCGGTACCCTCTCCTAAAAATTCCTTTTACTGCTTCGATCAGAAATGTTTTTACTGATCCACTTTAGGAAACTAGGTGACAAACAAACTTACTTCCATTACTTGATTCGCAATTAGGAATGCATGCATCGCACCAAGTCGTGCACACACACAATCAATCAAATTTCAAGCGAAATTTTCTTAAACGGTTCCAAAAGTTGATTCGAGCGAAAGCAACTCGCGGATTATTGACCGATTTAGAGAAGCCGCTTTTTAAAAGCAATTCTCGAGAGTTGACGTTATGATGCACTCTCTAATTTTTTGAAATAAAAAGTGGCGATATTTTCACTCGAAGCGATAGTAAAAATATCGCCACTCGAAATCACAGTGAATAAAATCACAGAGTGAATGTTTCATTCAAGACTACAGTGAATTCTGACGAATATTCTGACATATGAACGAATATTTCAATCGATTGGAGTGAGTATGTTGACCCGATGATAAAATTTATCAGATTCACTTTATAACTTCGATATTCACTCAATGATTTAAAATATAGAATTCGCTTTATAGGAGTGCAAAATAATTCAAATTCGAATGACCCGGCTGTCACTCTGCTTTTCGAGAGAAAAAGCGCGGCCAAGATTCGTCCTTTTTTGTAAAACTATTCCAATAAATAATACATTGATTTGAAGTTTATGTTGAATAGATTAAGAATATAAAGTCTCGATATTATTCTCATAGGGGTTTGGCAAATAAGCAGTCCAAAAGATTGCAATCTTAACAAATAACCATTATATTGAGATCGCAAACTTTTGGGTCGTTTGTCTCCCAAACGATATTACAGGAATAATATCAAGACTTTATATTCTTAATCTATTCGCCATAAATTTCAAATCGACATATCGTTAATTGAAATATTCAAAGTTTTTAAAACTGGGGCGAAACGTGTCTATGAGCGCTTGGCTGTTCTTTCACTCCAAGAAATTTAGAAAGTGTTTTTCCTCGGTTCTTCGACAATATCGACCATATATTCAAGATTCGCAGAGATATGACGCTAATGTGGATCGCGCATAAAAAGAAACGCTCGATACGCTATCGGGAACGAGTTGAATGCGCGGGTCAGCGAGCTAACTTCCGGCAAACCTGCAGCGATGCGTCTAACTAGCGCTACAGAGACGAACGACCATCCTCTTGGTGGCCTTTCCCCTGTCCACCCGCATTCCGTAATGAATCGACGATCCGCTACGTGCGCCATATGTATGCTGCCGTCCCGGAAGTTGAAGCGGTAGTTTGTGTCGCAGCGGCTGCTGATCCGTACCGGGCCAATAGCATTTTGATGAACCCGTCTTCGGGTTCGAGCCAGAGAGAGTGTCCGATGCTTTTGCCGCTTGCTAAATTCATTAGGTCAGCGCCAACTCCGTGCACAGCAGTGTGACGTCTTCCTGTTCGCTAGAAATACTTCCTGGTATTTTTTGACTTCACTCTGGCGAAATTTTTAACACTTTTACCGACTCCTTCCTCAAAATACGTTGCGGGGCGATATTCGGCAGATCGAATATCGTCGGCAAACGAAAAGAGACGACGGATATCGATTTTCAATGACAAATATTTTGTGTACTAAATGTGTGACTATTAACGTGCAACAACATTACAGCTTAACAATTCGGATATTTCAGTCTGTTCGAACATCTCAATTTCCTCTGATTTTGTCTCGCACCGACATCGATTTTGTCATCAAGCCTGCATTCAAATCGGTATACACATGAATTGTAGAAATAAGAATTACTCTAGAATTAATATAATCTTTAATAGAAATCGACATTAATCGGTAACTAAAAGTGAGAAATAAATTTCAATCGATACTTCTATATAGCTACAATATTCGAAGAATATTAAAAAGCGGCAATGTGACTGATTGAGTCAATAATTATATCTATTTATTAGTTATTTCTATACAGTTACATGTATAGTGTCGTCAGTTTTGATAAAATTGTAGCAGATTAATTACAATTAATGATATTTTACAGCATCTTTGATCTTTTGCGACCAGCATATATCATGTTCTTCATAGAAAACATTATATATCTGTGATTATATTTGTGACTATATTGTAGTTCGGCATTCAGTACTAGTGAATTTTCTTTTTCTGACAGCA